CACATATTTGTATAAGACTTGCAATAATTGTTTATATGCTATGTGCTATATTTCAGTTTTTCTTTAATTACAACCGTATTTATATGTTTTATTCATTATTTGTGTGATATTTTGCATTATCCATTATGTACACAACTAACAACTGTTACATTTTGAGTTATTCTTCTTCACAGCGAAAAATTGATTTATTTTCAAATTCAGAAATACTTATTTGTCCGAATTCGCAGGATACAAGAAGATAAGTCAAATTAGAGTCCTTAAATTTCTCAATTATATCAAGTCAAAACGATAAATAAGGGGAGTACGTGACTATGAGGTCGCATCCACTTATATTTATTATTATTTTGCATGATGGTCCTGCTCTCACATATTTCTCATATTTTTGTATGGATACAGTCCCCGACATCAGTTAGGGATGGTCGTAATGATGTCTGGATCTTGTGAAAATTAGGAAGAGACAAGGATCCAAGAAAACATTCGAAAAGAGTACACCAAGTCATTACTGTAGAAATTTGTAGGTTACATTCAACAGACAATATAAATATTGACGATTCAGAGGCTATAAAACTTATTGGTACGAAAAAAGAAAAAGAGTTAAAAAAATACTTCATGACTACGAATTTTTAGTGGCGCTAGACCTAGGAATTTCTTTGAGTTGTCTAAATCTTTAAATTATTATATGCCTTATCTGCACGAACTCCGTGTACCTGATTCTCATTTCGATGAGATACGTAGGCAACCCTTCTTTGGTTCAATATTATCTTCTAATATAAAATTGAAAAAAAATTATAAAATAGTTTGTGTATATTTTCCAAGTCTTATCTGGATGAACAACACGTACCTGGTTCTCATTTTAATGAGATACGTAGGTAACCCTTCTTGGGTTTGGTATTATCTTCTCCAAAAATAAAATTAAAAAAAATATTTAAAATAGTTTGTGTATATTTTCCAAGTCATATCTACATGAACTACGCACACTTGATTCTCATCTTAATGAGATACGTAGGCAACCCTTCTTGGGTTTGGTATAATCTTCTCAAAAAAATAAATTATAAAATAGTTTGTTCATATTTTCCAAGTCATATCTGCACGAACTACGCGTACCTGATTCTCATCTTAATGAGATACATAGGCAGCGCTTCTCGTGTTCGGTAATTATTCTTAAAAATAAAAAATAAAAAATTGTACATACTGTAAGAGACATGTTTTCAACTGTGTCGGGACCTATGTTGTTAAGAGCATGTAAATGTATTCGATATGATGGAAAAGACTGACTTTGCGGTAAACTAAAGATTCTTGTGGTACCTGGTATCTGTACTTTTGTGATGCTTGAAAATACTCTTGCATGCAACCAAGATAAGAATAAAACAAACCTTATGTTTCATGTGCATTCTGTGGTGAGATTTTGATAAAACTTCAATTGTCTTACACTATTGATGTAGAACTTGACTTGAATGTTTTTCGAGGTGAAATTATGAGTAATGTTTTGTTTGAGAAATGATTGTAGGCCTTTTTTGATCCGATTTTTCCTTTCCAAGCCTACCATATTACGTTAATTCCTAGTTCTCCCATTTTGAGCCTGAAACCTTTATTTGGACAACCACATCTTAACCACTACCATTTTTTAGTGCTTACAAGCACTATCCTCTCTTGGCCCACCCTTCTTGATTGAACCAAGAATGTGAAAATTATAAGAGGAAGTTCATGTTTGAAATGTCCAAAAGCAAAGATGTTGAGTCTTCCAAAATAAAAGAAGCGAAGACCACTAGAGAAAATAGAGAAAGGAAGAAAGAAAACATGAAGAAATAGAGAAAGGTAAAAAATATCCTTACAGGGTCAGTGAAAGGTGGGAAGGAAAATACTCCAACAAAAAAAGAAAAACTTATTATAATAAAGAAGTGAATAAAAGAAAAGCTCCAACGAATAAGGACTCAAAAGAAGAAAACAAAAGAAAAGAAGACAAAAGATAAATATTAAGAGCTAAAAAAAAGCGTTTAAAATGAGAATTCAAAGGAAGATGAAAGGTGAGAGAACAATTAAGAGGATCTGACGTCAAAGGGTACCAATTATTAAGAGCACAAATTCTGTTTAGCGTTCAAGGAGGAATTAATTAACTTTTATCTCAAATAAATATCCTATCCATCCCTAAGCCTACGTTACAAGCCAATGGCAAGCCCTACATGATCTCGTTCCAAATGTTCTCACATTAGTGGAGATTTACATAAGGGTCAAGTTGTGTGCATTGAACATTCTTGTGAGTGTGAGTGCACTTTGAAAAATGTCTTATAATCAAATGTTTCAAATATGTGTGAAATAGGACTAGCCTTTGTCGTGAGGGCACTTGAAACATGAGGATTGATATAATTCAAAACCTTTGTTAAAAACAAGATGAACGGATCTTGTTGATTCAAAAGTATGTTTCATGTACCACCTTAACCTGTAGGAATTACCTTAATTCAATCTTTTAAAAAAAGATTTACCTGCAATCCTAACTGTTGGTACCAATCGTGGTGAAGATTTGACTATCTCATCAAATTTTTTTTTTTAAAAAAAAATTGTCTTTTGAGTGGTTCATTATAAAAAGTTTTATTAAGTTCGTGTTATATGTGTGAGACGCCTATTTTACTTCATTGGATTGTCCATCCCAAAAATGTGATATATCTTGTTGTTAGGCATTAAATATAGCAAGGAATACCATTTTCATATTTCATCATGTTCATATTGCATTTTCTATTGATAATTTTTCATATTTTTTGCAGCACTCATCATCCATAAGGTTGGAAAAACATTTGACCTGATTCCTGCCTCGACAGGATATGTAGGCACCACGACTGCTCGGTCATATGCCCAATCTGTTTATTACTTCACCTTATAATAAAAACTAGGACAGACTTTTTAAAAATATTTCAAAAAATCTCAATAAAGATAGCCAACAAGTCAATATTGAAGATCATTTTGAGATTTCCTAAAATTCTAACTGGAACAGAATTTCGAGGAAGACCTCAAAATTATGATAAGTGATGCGAGAAGCTTAATAGCAACTAAAAAGATCATGCATCACTAGTTAATATTCATGTATCACGAGTTAATTCATGTATCACTAGTTAATATTCATGCATCACTATTTAATATTCATGCATCGCGAGTTAATTCATGCATCACTAGTTAATATTCATGCATCACGAGTTAATTCATGCATCACTAGTTAATATTCATGCATCGAGAGTCAATTCATGCATTGCGAGTTAATATTCATGCATCACGGATTAATATTCATGCATCGTGAAAAGATTTAATACCTCGCAGAAAATTCATATATCGCGAGAATATTTCATACCTCGCAGAAATGTATGCATCGCAAAATATTCATTCCTGGCAGATAGTTATGCATCAAGAGTCAATAATCATGCACCGCGAGAAGATATTCATTCCTGGCAGATAGTTATGCATTATGAGAAGATATTCATACCTCGCAGAAAATTCATGCATCGCAAGGAAATTCATGCATTACTAGTTAATTCATGCATCACTAGTTAATTCATGTATCACGAGTTAATTCATGCATCGCGAGTCAATACTCATGCATAGTAGAAGATCATGCATCGTAATTAATATTCATGTATCACGAGTTAATATTCATGCATTGCGAGTTAATATTCATCAATCGTGGATTAATATTCATGCATCGCGAGTTAATTCATGCATCACTAGTTAATATTAATGCATCACAAGTTAATATTTATGCATCACGAGAAGATTTCATCCCTCGCAAAATTTTATGCATCGCAAGAAGATTCAATTCCTCGCAAAAGTTTACATATCGCAAGAAGATTTCATACCTTGTGAATTTATGCATCGCAAAAAGATTCCATCCCTCGCAAAATTTGCGCATCACGGGAAGATATTCATGCCCTGCATGCAATCATGCACTGCAAGAAAAGGAATCGTGCAAATGAAATATTTATCCCTCAACGTCAACAGACGTTAAATATTGAGGAGAGAAATTAAGTGTTGACACGGTGAAAGACACTGTCTCCTATTTAAATTGCAGTTTTAAGCTAACGAGTTTTATCTTAGTCCTTTTGGAGAGTATTCAAAAGGATGATTTTTTTAAAATAAAATAAACTTGTGCAAATTACTTCAACAAGGATGCAACACATCATAGAACCTTTTGGAGACATGTCTGGGATTGACTTCAACTACATGCAATCACACTTCTCTACAAAGGTCATGTGTTCGGTCAAAATTGGGTTCGTCAATTTTCGTTGTCCACGATTTCTTTCATCAATCATACACAATAAATAGGACAGCAGTTGACACTCAATTTTGGCCTAACATTTTTGAAATTCGTAATTTTGAGGTCTGAATTATTTAGAATCTTAAAATAATTTATTTAATATAGTTTAAGGAAGTTTATCGATAACTATCTTCATTTTATCAAAATATAAGTTTTTTGTTAGTTATTTTTTTAAAATTGCATTTCACATGTCATTAGTTATGTTCATTATATTATTTTAAAATTTTATTTTTTATTTGTTACATTTGTTAATAATTATGTGAATTTAGTACAGTCTAAAATTTAGTCAAATACAAAAAAAATTAAAGAATTCTACTGCAATAATTTTGGGCCACAATAATAAGCCCGTAACTTAGGCCCATAATTTTTTGGTGTGGATAACATGTTGAGGATAGAGGATGAAAATTTTGAAGAAAAGAAGAGAAACCTAAAAAGTCCATTCCCTTTTCCTCTTCCTCTCAAAAATCAGCCTCCTCCTCTAAACACCCCCAACTGACGCCTCCCCTCTCCTCTCTTCCTCCCAGCCGCCTCTTCCTCTCCAACCACCTTTCTCCCTTCTCTCTCCCCTTCCTCTCCTCTATTCCTCCCAGCCTCCACTTCCTCGGCCTCCCTCTTCTCTTCCACTGGCGCCACTCTCCCGGAAAATGTCTTCCCTAAAGCCCAAGCCGACCTCGTTAACTGGCGGGACTCCAACATGTCCGTAATGGAAATGAGATCTGTAAATGTTATTTCTGCAGTTTGTGCATTTATCTCTAAGGTATCGGTTGTTCCCTCTGCCTCCGCACTTGTCATCAAGGTGTTGAAGGAGGTGGAACGTGACATGAAGAAGACAAAGATTATCAAGCATAACGGTTACATATAACTTGATGTCGTCGTTGAAATTGCTAAGGTGATGCACCCTAGATCTATGGCTAAGGATTTGAGTGAAACCGTTAAAGAGATCTTGGGAATTTGTGTATTTGTTGGTTGTACGGTAGAAGGAAAGGATCCTAAGGATTTGCAGCAAGAGATTATTGAGGGAGATGAGGAGATTCCTCAGGATTGATTGTTGATTGATGGGATAAGAGTGAATTATGACCTGATTATTCCATTGATGGAGGTATCCAATTTACGATGAGTTCCAACTGCGATGGACAACAATCAAAAGTCCAATCGTAAACTCCATTTGAAACAATGGTAAAACTCAAATATCTTACTTTAGTTTTATTAAATTTTGCTTAGTGTCTCCCATTTTCTATCATTATTATCGTTCTTTTGAAATTTTGTTTGCTTAATCTGTTACTTTTTTTTGTCAAATTTTGTTCATTGTTGTGTTAGTATTTTTGTTTGAATGGATTTTTTATGTAATTTTTCATGAGGTGTTTATTTCCATTTATGTTACTGCTTTAGTTTTGTTTTTGATTAGTTTTCTTATTAATTATAATAATCATTTGCAACTAGATGCATCATTTCTTGAAGTTTCTGATTTATTATATTATTATTATTGTTATGATTTTGTTTTGTTTAGTTTATTATTATTGTCATATTATTATATAATCATTATCTCTTCTTACGATTATTAATGTTATTATTTTTCTTATTTGTTGTGTTATTGTTGTTGAAATTCTTTTATTTTTTTTTTTTATCTTTCTCGTTATAGGATAGTATTTGTCTATTCCTATTATTGTTCTATGAAGTTTCAGCAATTCCTTTTTATTATTTAAATTACTATTGTTATTATCTTATTTTGTTTAAGTTTATTTTTTTTTGATATATTCTTGGTTACTTCGATATTGATTTCATGTTGACAATTTTTATTTGTGAAACTAGCCAATGAAAATCTATTCATCGGGTTTAGAGACATTTTCCATTTTAAAAGACGGAAATTTTTAGTTTAAGTTCATATAAATTGTTTGTTAAAATTTTTAAAATGGGCAATGAAAAATCTGTCCATCGGGTTTAGAGGCCTTTTCCATTTTAAAAGCCGGAAATTTTTTAGTTTATATTCATCTAATTTGTTTGTTGAATTGTTAAAATGGCCAATAAAAAATCTATCCGTCAGGTTTAGAGACCTCCCAATTTTAAAAAGAAGAAATTTTAATTTAAGTTTATATATTTTATATGTTGAAATTGACCAATGAAAAAAAAAACTCTCTGTCGGTTTTGGAGGCCTTCCAAATATTAAAAGATGGAAATCTAATTTAAGTTTATATATAATTTTAATTGTTGAAATTGGCCGATGAAGAAATTACCATAGATTTTTAAGGCCTCCCATGGTCATAAGACTGATTTTTATTTTAAAATTGGTATTAGATTATTCAATTTTAATCATATTTATTCTTTACTAACACTTTTATTGAGTGTGCTTACAATTACCCAAAACTTGCTTCCTTGATGCCATTCGAAAAAACTCGAATTATATTTTTATGTCATTATTATGTGAATTTTGGCGTTAGGAAAACTTTGTGCCGATAATTATTTTATTTTATTTTATTGTGTATATTGCATGTTTATTATATTTGTACATTATTTTATTCTCCTCCTCAATTTGGGAAAAAATGAATTCACTCCGAAAACACAATTGTGCATTTCGAAGGGTGCCTAACCCCTTCCCTTCGGAATAACTTGAACCCGTTACCTAGAATCAAATTGGTTTCTTAGACATTTCTTTCAAGTTAATTAATAATTGGTTTCCTAGTTTTCCTACAAATTAGGCGACGACTCCATTTAATCCCTATGAACTCCCTTTCCCCTTTTCATATCCTTTTACTCATTTTAAAATTTTTGTCACTTAAACTTTCTTTTAATAGGAGTCACCGCGATGTTTTTCCCTATTTCAACAGAGTAGGGATGTAAACATATGTCAAGAACAAAAATTTTATGAAAAGAATTTCAAACATCATTTAAAGAATCCTCCAAGTATAACATAGGAGCTACAAAATTGTTAGGTCTATTAATATTACAACTTCTTAGAACCCCCTATATAACAGTCACCATCACCTATTCTAAATCTGTAAAAATTAATATCTAGTTAAATGTAAAAAATAAAAATGAGCTTGTAAGATAAACTAATGATGTTTTCTGCAAAACATAGGGAGAGAAAAATGATCCAAAGAGGAAGTTTTCCAGTGGAGGAAATAGATGATCAAATAAAAACTTAGTGGGTATGACATTATACTTCAAAGATTGGGATGAACAAAAGTGAACTACCTTAAAAAATATATATAGAAAATTAAATGGCTATCTACCTACCCGGTGCATCCACACTCACTTTACATGTCATACAAAATAAATATTTTTTTATTTTATAGTGTGTGGGATTAGTAACAAAAGAGAAGTCAAAGATTATAACGTGTACCTTTTTTTTAATTCATACATCCCATATCATATTGTAATGACTTGAGAGCACCCGCTAATAGTAATATGGCATATTCAATCTCGAAGAGATGTTATACAAGCCCTTAGAATTCATTCCTCACATAATAATTAGAAAATATGGAAGAATTTAAAAAGTTTCTTTAAAACATAACTTGAATAGTATTTTATAAAAGTGGAAGTCATTCTTACATTAGTCTCAAACCATCTATTAATGACGTGAATAAAAGTGATGCGACACAGCCCATATAAAGTCTAAAACACAAAATCAAATGGTTTAAAGGTATTTGGATATTATCCCTGAATCAATGAAAATGATCCAAAGAGGATGTTTTCTAAAAATGATCCAAAGATGACAATATCTATTTACCTTTATCAAATTACCTTTTATGTTTTAGACTTTATGACTGCTTCGTCCAAAACTTTTATTCATGTCATTCATAGATTGTTGGACACAATATTGTTAGAAAGTCCTCTTTTATGAAATATTTGTCGAGTTATGTTTTAAAGAAAGTTTGAAATTCATATATTTTTTGTAATGCCTATGTGATGAATGAATGCTAACGGATTCTATAAGATCTCTTAGAGATCAAATACACCATGTTATGACTACCGAGTGTTCTCAAGTCATTACAATATGATATGAGATGCAAGAACTTTATCAAAAGGTACACGTTATAATCTTATAATTCTCTTTTGTTGCTAATCCAATTCACTCTTAAATAGAAAAAAATATTTATTTTGCATTAGTGTAAAGTAAATGTGGATGCGCAAGGGTAGGTAGATAGCCCTTAATTTTCTCTGTATATTTTCAAAATTGTTTCACTTTTAATCATTGCAACATTTTATTTACAATGTCATTCCCACTAAACGTTTCTTTGATATTCGATTTCCTCCATTAGAAAACCTCGTTTGGATCATATTTTGTCTCTCTAGTTTAGCAGAAAACATAATTAGTTTCTCTAATAAGAACATTTTTTACGTTTAAGTAGATATCATTTTATATAGATTTAAAATGGGGATTATGTTTGGGATATCGGTGCGGTTGGAAGAAGTTGTAATATTAATAAACCTAACAATGTTGTAGCTCCTATGTTATACTTGGAGACTTCTTTAAATGATGTTTGGAATTCTTTTGATAAACTTTTTGCTCCTAACCTGACTAATTTAATAGTTTGTCATAATTTTCTCTTTATATTTTCCAACTATTCGTCAGGAAAAACCAGATGATGAGGTTAAAATCATGAACCGAAATGCTAACCGATACTGGTAGTTACATCCCATTCATCCAACTCAACTTATCCAACTAACAACTACAACACCAAAAGAATGGATTGATTTACAACAAGTCGATATAGGGGCAAAAAAATATCCTAATTTCATGTTTTCCATGGAGACTCCTGTGATTCAAACTAGAACAAGGTAACCATTCCCTTCGTTAAATTTTATGTGTGTGTTCCAAAATTTTGATTTGAAATAAGGAAAAATCATTCAATAAGGATTACACATGAATTATTGCAAGAGGAACATGATGAGACCAAATGTTAAAGTATAACTGAAAGCTTTGTCAAAAGACATTAAGGTCTGACTATGGGAGTTAGTAGTAACAGGCATAACCACCACATGAGCTATATGTGATGTCAGATCCATAGACCATATTGAAGGAATCTATATACCTTGCCAAGGGTATAAAGGTGTGTATGGTGTGATCACTAAAATTAATGCCCATAGTGGGGACTTAGCCTACGGGGTACGTTCTAGGACTGTAAGGGTACACTGAAACGTTGCCTCGCTCTTATTATATGTAGCGCACTTCACCCTATGAAAGAGACTATACATAGTTTTACTATAATTCATCCTAGGACTCTTAAACCTAATGTTCTGATACCAAATTTTTCACGCTTTGAGGCTACCCCCTTGTGTAAACACGGGACCCAGGATTACGAGTGACACCAAGAAAATCTTGAACTTGCACATTATAACAAAATTCTATTAGTTTAAGGTACTGAATAATAAATCAAAATCTAAAGTTGAATTTAAAACTATGCCTGAAAAATCCTCAACTCAGTAGAGTTGCTGGTACACGTCCCTAGCTAAACCTAAAAAAACTGAAATTGAAATAAAAGTCTCAAATGGAAAACATGTCTATTGTACTCGAAGTATGAGGGCTCACCACTAATGATACTTTATATGGATCCGAAACCTATTTGCATGTGATGTGAATGTTGAGGAGCTGAACATACAACATTAAAGGACGTAACATACAGTATGCATCAATATTTGGAATGTACTAAGCATGCATGATATAGAATATAACTTAACAAATATGTAAGTTAGACAAGCATAACAGAGAAATGCCATAATCTGAAAGTAATGTATATACTGCAATATATTAAACTGAACTGAACTGAATGTAATGACCAAGTACTAATTATTATCTTTACATTCTGAAATTGAAAAATGAAAAATGACTAAAAACCTAGTCAAATGCAGTAGAGTATAACTATGCGAGTTATTATTAATCGAGATAAAACAACTTGAGCTAAATATAGAGTGCGATGTATATGCCCCGCCGGGAGGACCGAGTATACCTTTACAGGGGCATAAATCCATGACTTCATGATCAAAAAAATTTGATTCCTAATAAGAGGAATAATACTCATACGAAGGACCATAGTTTTAGGACTATAA